AGGTAACACGCAAAAAAGGGGATGTATCCTACGTTAATACAATTGTATAAATTATAATATTAATTACTTAAAAAAAACGAGACATGCACTTACATTAGCATGGACTTGTTCGCGGTAGGCACAGCGATAGGTGAGACGCTAAGTACAGTAAATGAGTTACTTTTAGTGATTATACATGTGCAAAAACATATATAAAATTGTGTATACTTTATTCGAAACATTTTTGTTATTACCGAGAGCAGTTTTTACGTTTACCGAATTAAGTTGTTGAAGAATAGAACTTAATTAATAAACGTCCAACGTGAAATAAAATAGTTTATGCTATCAGCTTATTTTATAAAGCGTAACAAATAATGGTTACATTCCAGTGCTAGTATAAATAAAGATTGTGAAGTATCTCTATTAGTGTAAGACATGCTACGAACTGTATAAAAGTGTCAATTTTTCAAACTTACGTCTTCAACGTCATTGAACAAGCTATCGCAATCATCTGCACCACTTCCCTCGTCCGAACTGTAGGCAGGCTCCAGTTTCCTATATCTATGTGAATCAGGTGATATACATCCTACGTCAATAGGATTTGGTGCTAGAAACAGGAATATTATAAATCCTGCTATGCCCATTGCTGCTCCAGGCACTATGAAACTTAATCCCCAATCAGATTCCACGAACTCGGCAGCAATCAAACTGCCCAAGATATTTCCTAACGATGTATGAGAGTTCCATATCCCGAAGATCAAACCTCGTTTTCCTTTTCCAAACCAATTTCCTACAACTGTGACTACACCTGGCCAGCCAGATGTTTGAAAGACACCACCAATTGCCTGAGGAAAGTGATGTAATTCATCCATAGTAAAACTGATGTATACAAGCAACAAGATATTACTTTGAATAAATTTACCTGAACCAGGACAAAATACCATAAACTATGAATATTGTATGGTCTAGCAATGCCAAAGAGATAACAAGATATGCCTGATGCAAGCATGCCAAATGAGAGGAAATATCGCAGATTTACTCTTTCTGCTATAAAACCGCTGAACAGGAAAATACAAAATTGTAACTAAAGTAATCAGTACAATCTTTGTCTCAAAAATAAGCTCACTTTAATATGTCACCTGAGGAACATAGCTGCTGCATATGCAAATAGGAATGCCGAATCTAACATGCCAAGTAATGCTGGAGCATCTTCGGTATCTGTTCAGAAACGAAAGTAAGTTTAATAAAAGTACTGATTATGTTAGAACAGGAATTCAAATATTAAAATGATCTTTACCAAATGGAGCCCAGTCACACCATGTGTCTTGATTACTGGTGTTGATCACAATGTTTGGAGGTGGTGATAATGTGCTACAGTTTAGGCTTAATACATTTTTTACAACCGATATAGGTTTACGTGTCATATGGTAACATGTATATGCCAAATATGTAAGAGCTAAAATGCCCCCTTGGTGCCATGCCATTTTGTTGACACGGCGATGAGGACAACATTTTGACACTGTATATTGTACCAATTGCAACCCCCATGGTTGATCTTTTAATGGAAGAGTTGTAGTCAGTGAAATATATTCTCTTGAAGCCATCAAACAATTTATTATAAACAGTAAATATATTTTGAAGTATATTATAATGTTAATATTAAATGGTTCTTGAGCATTTATATTTATTATAATGCAAAAACTTACGAGTAATGCTAATACATCTGCAATCATAAGCATATAAAAAACATTGTGCCATCCACCCCAACGAGATACTAATCCTGCTAATAATGGGCCTATAGCAGCCCCAATACTGCCTGTTCCATCGATGATTGCAGTAACCGTAGCTAAAGCTTTAGCATTATCTCCTAAACTAGGATGAGTTCCTAGTTCAGCAGATACAGCAGTTGTTATCAAGGCATAAGGTCCATTAACTAATAGACCTGCTATTAGTAATAATATTATGTTGATGCCTAAGGCAGTACTTCCAGCATAGTCATACACGAATAACTGTATAATGAATTGTAGAAAAATGTCAGGCCACAGAGGCAAATCACTATTTTAAATAATTTTCGATCCTAAACGCAATTCAGTCTGCACATACCATAGGAACTGCGAATCCTAGCATGGTTGCACACGTCAGAGCACTCATACCACTATAATCAGATAAAACTCCTGCGGCTATTGCACCCGCGATTCCACCAACGTCGAACAAAGTAGAAATATCTGCACTTAAAGTTGCGCCATATGTCGCTATAAAAAGGTTGAAAATATTTATTACAAGAACTACTATAAAATACATAATTACTAGAATTGGAAGCATACTAACTTGAAGCTGCAATGTACAATGGCAACCAATAGAGGAATGTATAGCTTACGAGTTTCGCAAAGAATAAGGAAAGGGAGTATTCTATAACTCCGGGTATAGTCATAGCTCCTATGAATCCAATTGCACTTCCTCTGCGAGATTCTTGCACGTGTCTATGCCTTGGCAGTATTGGACTAGTCTCAGATCGTACATTTGTAAATTCCTTTTAAAATAAACCTTTTATAAATACTTAGGAAGACAGAAGAAATATAACAATATATAAAAGCTTACTACATTAAAAGAAGATTAAATCAAGAAGTGATATAT